AAGGCAGAAAAATTAATTAAAACATTTTTCTCCTCGAACTGGACTCGAACCAGTGACCTACCGCTTTCTAGGCGGACGCTCTACTAACTGAGCTACAGAGGCATGAGGAAATTGCTGACGAAATGTTCTCTACATTGCTTATACTGTAATTCACATGATTACTAAGTATTTGTTTTGTTTACATTGATTGCTACATACAATCTACTATTGAAACACACAATAACAAGAACATATATATTTATAGGATTGTGCCTATTGCACTAATTAAATTATGAATTCTATTAATACAACATCATAGTTGCGAAATTTAACTTGTTCCTTTGATTACGTCATCCATCTGTTCTGCAGTTGCATGAAGAAATTTCCATTAATTTAAATTAGTAGTGTAATAAGCACATTCTTATTAATTTCGCAACTTGGCAAAATTTTTATGTATGCTCGAACCTTTGGCATCTCTTGCATTGCGGGATGGGCCCATTACCTAAGAGGCTCAATTTTGCCTCTTATGCGATGCACATACGTATTCCACTTTGTATATTTTATTTATATATTAGATTTTATATGTATTATCAATTCTATTTATATGTTAATCAAAGGACAACATGAGATGGTGAAACTTTTTAGCAGTACTCATGTTATTTAATTTTATTTTTAGTATCCACGGACTTATATCAGCCGAATTTGGATAGACTTCCACTTAATATCTTAAGGCTCTCATGATGGATATAAGTTTCGACCATTCGTTTAATTGGGGTCCTGCCAATTAATTTTCATAAGCATGCTACTTCAATTTGACCCTATTAACAGCTTTAGTTAATTGTTTATATTCATTTTCATTTTCAAGATTTATCTTTTGTTGATCATTGTTCATTTTAATAGCATAAGCATTTTTCCTTAGTACAGACTTGTCTATTTTAATACTATTCACTTCTAGCGCTGGTTCCAATTCTGGTGAAGTTTAACCTTTACTCTTCTTTCAGTTTCTTTTGGTTTTAAAAATCCAATCGATTGCTTTAGCCAACTTTTCCTCAACTGTTTTGTACAGGAGCACACCTACACACTATTTTTCTTTTTTAGGTGCCATTTGAAACTGTATTCTGCTCTCCCAAAAATCTTAGGTTTTCTGCCTTAAGTTTGCAGATTCCTTCTTTCAGCTTCTTCCATAGGTTTTCTAAAACGGTTATACGCGAGTATCGGTAATACTGGTCCATTTTCCTGATATAACGTGCTTTCTACATTACCTTCTCAGGTTTTACTTTTGTTGTATTCTTCAGACTGTCTTTCTTCGAACGAAACTAGAAGAAAAACCATCGAAGGTTTCTATGGTTTTGCTTCTAAGTTACCGCATGGGAGGAGACCTTGCAACTTTTAAGCTATTGCCAAACGGGTTCATTAATTTCGCTTGTGATCTCCGCTGGAACTTTGGTAGATATCCCTATCGTTTTTATATTCGAAATATTGAACATTTCATATTCAGTTATAAGTCTTATGGCTATTGACCTAGCCAGGTTTTCTCTACTGCCGTCCCTCTGGGATCATACGCAGACTAGGAAGCCATCCATTCTGAATTGGACATGCCTGGATTTTGCTCTGATTTTAGTGAATCCGTACCACAAGCATGCCTGCTGTGGGTATTTCTACTCGCTACCGGAGATATAATAATAATAATAATAATAATAACAGTAATAACAGTAATAATAATAATGATAATAATAATAATAATAATAATAATAGTAATAATAATAATAATAACAATAATAATAATAATAATAATAATAATAGTACTAAAAATAGTAATCACGAGAAATAATAGAGTTCACCGTGTCAACTTTGTGATACCCGTACGAATTTATTATCCTATGTGCGAATAAATATGTAATAGCTGACTATGGGACAGATTAAGACCCTTAGTTGCCATATTACCATATTATGCAAAATTTCAGTACTGTGTTTTCGATATTTTCTAAGATATGGCCAAACTATTATTGAAGTTGTGTATCAACTACCAAAAAAAGCCAAGCAATTTCAACGACTTTTATCAAACACATTGGTTCTACTAATATATTTGCTTGTGTAAAATTTCAATATCACAGCTTTTATAGTTTCTGAGATATAGCCAAATAACATTTGAAGTTGCATAGCAGTTACCAGAAGAAGCCAAGAAATTTCAGCAGCTCTTATTAAACACATTTGCCTTATTGGTATATTCACTTGAATGAAGTTTCAACACCGAAGTTTTCATTGTTTCTAAGATATAGTCAAATAAATTTTGAAGTTGTATGGCAGCTACCAGAAAGATCCAAGCAATTTCAACGACTTTTATCAAGCACATTTGCGCTATTATTATATTCACTTGTGTGAAATTTAAATGCGACAACTTTCATAATTCTTAAGATATAGTCAAATAAATTTTGAAGTTGTAAGGCAGCTACCCAAACCAGTACTCCGATCATATCCAATTTAAATAGAGGTCTGACATTTACTTTAGTAAATAATTTGTGAAAATTTGGTGAACTTAGCTCAATTAGTTTTTGAGTTATCGTTTTGTACCTTCATAATTTTTGAGCTTTTGAACATATGTTCGTACGGGTACAATGATAATAGACTTTCTCAAACAATAATAATAATAAAATTTTTTAAATAGTAACAGTAATAGACTTTCTCAAACGTTTAAAATAAAAATAGAAAATTTCAAATCAGTACAATACGAGAAAAATATATGGGGCTTATGGGCTAGTAGTGATACAAATTATCTAAAAAATAGTATTAGGTAAATCTAAAATAGTTCCTAGTCATTAAGAAAAAAATTTAGAAAGTAAAGAGTTGGATCCAAACCATCAGTTTAGAACAAAGTGTGGCACAAGTGATCAAATGCACACAATAATAAATATTGTAGAAAGGACGTTAGAAGGATCGCCTAATATATTTGACAATATTTCTGGACATAGCCTAAATACAGTTTGATACGACGGTTTATTTCTTATACTTGGAAAATTTTTGATGATACTTGAATCACATTAACCTGAAAAACTCTTCCTAATTAAACAGGATGACGAGTACTTCAGGCTTAGAAAAATTGGAGTACGGCAGTATTTTGCGCCCTATGTCATACGTGCTTTATACAATTGATTTGCCGCAATCGATGAATGTAACAGTGGCTACGTTTACCGACGATACAGCAATATTGGCAGTAGAATCTAATGTTGAAGAATCGACAAAAAAATTACAATATAAGTGAATGGAAAAATAAATTGAAGACGAAGCTAAATGGAAATAAATCAGTACAAGCAAATTTCACAAATAAAATTGAATTATCTAGAAATGAGTTTGAATATCAATATCCGATAGAAATAACAGGTCAAGAAGCATAAAATTAGAAAACGAATACAGAGAAAACTATTGGCTCTTGGGTCGTAGGTCTAAATTGCCAAAAATGATTTTATTATACAACTATGGCGTTGCAGTAATGGTGGGTGGTGTACATTTATAAGGATTTGGATATCTCCAAACTAAGTGGAGAAATAAATAACTGTGCCATGAAACATACGGTGAATTTGGAGCATATTGAGACCTGTGGTCTAATAAAGGAAAGGATTAGAGAAGAAAGACTGAGACAAATAAGACCTCTTCATTTAGCCTAAAGTGATGCACCAAGTACCATAGAAAAGCACCAAAGAAAAATACCATAGAACAAAACTAACGGTTAATCACTTTGGCTAGTTTTAGAAAATCGCGGCCACCTAGAAGCGTTCTAAACTAGGTTAACTAGAATAGTCACATACACATCTTCAACATCTGTATCAAAAAGAAAAAAACTGACAAACCTAGTGTGAGCTACTATAATAACTTCACATAATGAGAATGATGGCTATCAGACTGACGTAATTTAAACTTTCTTTAGCAACCTTTTAATATTTTGTCCCCTGTCAATAGTTTAGAAATAAAACTTTCGGGATTCACTGTTAAATTTGTACATTCCAAAAAGAAACTACCGAGTCCTCTTTCGCTTAGTAAGTTCATCACGTTTTTTGGAGAACTCTGGTGCGATCATTAGGGACCATTGCTCTTCATAGTTTCTGTTAATGGTTTTGTCCATGTTTATATTTTGATTAGTGTTAATTTCTGCTAAAATTTGAATATCTTCAAAACGATCACAAAAGCCTAACTATCTTTATTTATTTATTTTTCCGCCTATGAAATTTGTTACTAACTCTAACTTGTGATCTCGTTCCCCTTATCTTCTTATAGTTTTATTTCATAAGACCAACTATGGCAAGTATGAAAGTGTTAATAGAATGCTGAGTTTATGAGGACAACTACAAATACAGGCTTAACTTTTCATTGACAAAAGACTCGATAAAAAGTTTCAATGATGATTAAATATTATTTCGTTACTATTATCGTTGTTGCATTGTATTATACCTATAGTGTTTAATTTTAAATTGATATTCAATCAGTTATTTCAAAAAAAGTATGTATCAGTAGGTATTGGGTGTCTTTGTGCTGGGAAAAAATCAGCCCATATCGCACGCCCCACTTTCATTTTCTTATTTCCTGGTATAGGTAGATGACCTGTTAAAGTGTGTCATGACCTGTATAACGGGTCGTTTATTTCCTGGTATAGGTAGGTGATCTGTTTAAGTGTGACATGACCCATGTACATACACCCAATACCTACTGTATTCTTCTATAATTTTGTAAAATGATTGAGCTAAAAAACAAAATTGTACGTACTTGCAAATAGATAAATAAATAAATTCGCAAGATTTACAATATAACCCTAATTCATTCAAAAACCTGTTTTAAAATATTAAAGTTGTAGACTTTCGTTTCTATATTCATGATAAAGTTACCTCAGTTTTTTAGTTGTCTCTTATCATTTTAATATAAGTTAAAAACCAATAAAAGCTCGTTTAATCTCTTTTGTATGATTTCTGTTAAAAAAAATAAAAATGAAAACCACAAAAAAGTTTGCAGTATTATTTGAGATATTAGTGTAGTATGAGATAAATCCAAAATAAAGTTTTATTTTATAACGATAAAGTTGAATATATTGTATGAAATTATACGCACATAAAATTTATAGTTTAATTCTAACAGGTTTCAGAAAATTTTAATATAAAGTAAAAAAATTTCTTTTAATAAAGGTTGTCGTTATAAAGAACGAGTCCTTGGATATAAAATGCAAATGGAAACACAGATGGACAAAAAATGTAAGTGAAGTATATCTGTCGTATTGTTACAAAATTTGTATTACCTATATGAAAAAGCGGTAAAATATAAACATAAATATTTTTCAAAAGTTACAATTTGAGAAAAGAATCCTATTATAGCATTTTGTTAAGAATTGTTAAACCAATTTTCAAAAAAGGTCTTGTGGAATGTGAGTTTTATATAACTAAAATTTATTTAATCGGACAATAGGATCTATTACCAAGTTTCTAGAGAAATCTGAACACCGAAACCGCTATAAATTTCGACTATTTGAAAATCAACTGCTCTACAAAGTTATTGAAATATGACTAAGGTTGATCTGAATAACAACCAAAATTACCAAAGTAGTAAATGCAAAGTTGTAATTCCGTAGATTTTGTTGTGTACCAGCTTTTGTAATTTATACAACAATAACCAAATTTTTAAGTTAAATAGCAGCTGTTGTAAAAACTTGTGCAACTGCAACTAAATCTTGTTGAAGTAGAAATCCTATTACCAAACTAGTTTAAGCAAATGGATTGGCTGTATTACAATCTCCAAGAATATTTCGTATGTATATACCCAAAATTCCGATGCGCAAATACTGTTGATATAAGTAATCAACACAAAAGCTTAAGTTAAAATAGTTTCGTAAACGAAAAGTCATGTTCAAAAAGTCAGGTACTTAATAGTCTTGTTTCTGTGAAGAAAATGTGTTAAAAGAATGTTTATAAATCTATTATTGGTAATAAAAATTTAATTTTTTGCAAAAAAACCGATGAATTAACCTTTTTGAAAACTACAATGAAAAAGATTATGAACGAAAAATTATTTTGTGTGGCAAATTATCATTTCATTTTGCCAATATAGTTCATTGCAATAATGTGAAAAATAAAACCATATTAGGTTTAGTGCTGATTTTAATTTTTGAAAAATATTTAATTTTGTTTGTTTTTATCTAAATTGTTTAATTTCTTATACATTTAAGCCGCATCATGTATTAATATGGTAAACAGGTTTTTCGTAAATTAAATAGCATTAACTATAATTTTTTATTTACTTTGATATGTTTATTTATTGGATATGTTAAAACTTACACTAAATTGTAAGTTAATAAAATATTAATTTAATCGATTTATATATATACATAAATCATTAGTTATAATCTGTTCAGATTTTGGAATCACATGATTTTAAAATTCAAAAAATTAAATAATTTAACTTTTCATTTTTAAAAAAGGTTAATTTTTAAGGTGATGTAACATGAGAGCTTTCTCCAATTTTAGCCTAGCTGGAAACCTTGTACATGAATCACCTCCGTAACTCCGCGAAAATTGCAATAATACTCTATTAATACATAAGACAGCAATAACAACTTATAAGTCAGCAATTATAATATAAAAGTGCAATATTTTTTTATTATTATAATTTTAAAGGAACGTCAAAAAAAGTAAATTGTGAATAATGAATATTGTTAATTAACTTTAATAAGTTAAAAGTGCAGAAAGAAGCATTTTTGAATTAGGTTACTCTACTTTATGAAAAATTTTAACTTAATTGAAAGTATACACGAAAGACTCGGCCAAAAAACCAACGAAAAATAAATATATAAAAGTAACTTTTTGTAACATTTCTTCAGAGTCTAAAAATTCTTATATTATTATAGTTTCTATATGTAATATTTTATTGTTGTTATCAGTAATACACAAAAAAAGCTTTATTTATACCCATTAGCTATGAAATAATGATTTCTACTCCTTACAACATGTTGTGCTATTGTGTAAATAAAAAAATTAACATTTTCTTGTGATTTTCCTTAAATCACTTGTGAAAAATTTTCTCTAAATTTTGTTGAATTATGTGACAAATATCATTGAGCGATATTATACGTTAGCTCACTATATTTTACAATCTTAAACAATTATTCCTTCTTTCAAGGTTTAGAGGTAATAAAATATAACTATTATGCGGAGACTTAAATTAACTGAATTACAAAATTTTGTCAATATTAAAAATCGTTTATATTTATTGTTACCATTTGTACACGTATTTGATAATTCAAGTTTTTTTTTATTTCAAGTGATATATACATACACATCATATTATTATATTCATTGTTCTTGAGTAATATTTGTAATCATTAGAATTTTTTATGTATAGTACTTAGTTTTACAATTGCAGAGGTAAATGCGTAATAAAAGGATCAAAGAATTTTCTTCAACTTTCATAGTGAAAATTTTACGTTAGAAACGTGAAATGTGAAAAAAGTTATGTTTTAATGAAGTAGAAACGTGAAATGTGAAAAAA